CTGAATATTTTAATAGCTGTCTCTTAAGAGACATGAATCGCGATAGTGCTAAAAAGTATGAGTCCGGAAGGGGTTTCGGTATGTTATTACGCCATGGTAACCTCACTTCAAATCGACCAGTATCAAGTCTTCGAGTTGATGTTCTAACGATGTCGAGTGCGCGTTGATCTTCGACATTTTCTTTTGGTAATTTCTCGCTAATGCCTAAAGAATCAATCTCGTACTGTCATTTAATTAAATTTTCCAACTCGTCGTATTGGCGTTGCATAAATTCTTCAGTGGAATTTTTTCGAGGTTCGTATTCGTCGTCGCTGTTCGAGTAGTCGCTAAAACTAAAACAGGTGTTATCATTAGGTACAGTTTATGTGACACCCTGTAAGGGTGTAGCAAATTAAAATTAAAATTAATATTCCATTGTCAATAGTAAATGCTTTAAATAAAATCTTCAATATCTTAACTTTCCTCATTATCTTACATTCATAAAATTTCATTTAAATTCACATTCGTCCCTAATTTTCATTTTAAAAATAATCATAAATAGGTATATAAAATTAATGTTAATTGTCAGGTAATTTTCAATTAAGTACAATAAATGTCAAATGCTTAGAATAAAAAATTATAAATTATGTCTCAAAAGTTAAATTGTCAAGAAATAAATTAAATTGTCAAGGAAGAAAGAAAAACATGTTATGTCAACGGCAATAAAATATTACAATTTGTCATCAAAATATTCCTGGACATTATAATAACACTTGTCAATGAGAATTTGCTTCAATGTCGTTACAAACTTTTTTATATTAATTTCATTTTTTAAATTATGGGGTAATCTATTAAAAGTTTTTATTGCCATTAGATATGGACTCGTACTGTGCAAAGTCAATTGTGATTTTGGAACTATCAAATTATTCTTGTATCTCGTCGGATATCTCCTCAGAATATCATTTTTTTTGGTAAAGAAGTCAGGATATTTTTTAACTAATTTACAAAGCTCTAATATATACAGAGAAGTCACAGTCAATATCTTAAATTGCTTAAAATATGGTCTACAACTACAAGTGGTGTCAATATTGGCAAGGATTCGTATGCACTTTTTTTGTTTAAGGAAAATATTTTGTATGTCTGTACTATTGCCCCAGAGTATGATTCCATACGAAAGCCAAGCGTGGGCGTATGCATAATAAGTTGCCATTGCTGAGTTGAAATCACAGCTTACCTTTATTTCCCTTAAAACATAAAGAAAAGAAGATAATTTTGCTTTAATTGTTTCTATATGATCTTTCCAGTTTACATTGGTATCTATATTCAACCCTAAAAGCCTGAAAGTATTAACACATTCTAAAAGATTATTTTTGTATTCAAATTTTATGCTTAGTGCTTGTTTTTGATGAGGTCTAAATTGCATGATTTTAGTTTTAGTATAATTTATTTCTAAATTATGATCCTTCATCCACTCAGAAACAACATTTAAAATATTTGTCAATTTTTCGTTCAAATTTATGTTATCGGTACACGAAGTCAAAATAGAAACGTCATCTGCAAATAATATACATGAGTCATTTAATAAGGTTTTAGGGAGGTCATTTATATAAATCAGGAATAAAACACATCCGAGCACACTGCCTTGTGGAATGGAGTAATTTACAGTCTGTACCTCAGAACGGACATTTTTTTTCTCTGCAGTGTTTTCGTCGAAGTGTTCGATTTCAACATATTGTATTCTATTTTGTAGGTATGACGCAAACCACCTGTGCGCATTCCTCTCACACCGATACTATAAAGTTTATCAAGTAAAATGTTGAATAAAACTTTATCGTAGGCTTTTGACATGTCTAGTAACAACCCTATAGCGTAACGTTTGCAATTTAATATTTCCAAAATCTCCTGTACATATTTAAAAACTGCTAAGGTTGTTGAACGATTTTTTCTAAATCCATTTTGAGCATTATCAAAAATTTTAAACTTTTCACAGTACGAGCATAATCTATTACACATAGCTTTTTCTATAATTTTCGACAACGTGGGTAACAAAGATATTGGGCGGTAATTCTGTAAATCATCCTTTTTGCCTTTTTTATGGATAGGTTTTATTATAGATATCTTTAATAATTCCGGAAAAATACCACTGTCAAAAGATTGGTTAATTAATATTTGAAATGGTATTGCTAACTCTTGGTAACATTGTCTAATTAAGGCTGGTGTCAATTCATCGATGCCACAACTGTATTTACACTTTAAGTTTTTTATAATAGTCATAGTTTCGCGTAAGTCAATCGGTTGTAGGTACATTGAGTTGAGGACAGGTTGCACGACTAGCTAGGCGTGCTCCCATCACTGCTACCTGCGGCGCCCGAGTGCCCGACCGATACAAAATGTCTATTGAACAAATTCGCAACTTGGTAGGGATCTGACACAAGTTTATTGTGGATACGTAGGAGCGTATTTTTATTTTCTTTATTAACGTTTTTGTTGGTTCGGTCCTTTATAATATTCCACATAGTTTTCGTTACATTATTAGATTTTTTTATTTGACGAATATATTGAAGTTTTTTTGATGTTTTTATACAATGTTTTAGTGTTTTTTCATATAATTTGTAGTGCTTTCTAAGTATAGGATTGTTTGTATAGGTAACCATTTGTTTTAATGTACGCTTATTTTTACACGATTTTCTTATGCCAATAGTAAGCCATTTTTTTCTTATATTATTTTTTAACTCAATATTTTTTTTAGGAATACAATTAATTAGAGTATTTTGTAGGATGTCATTTAATTTATTATAATTTTCATTTACAGTGGTTGCATTAAGAATATTTTCCCAGTTTAGGTTTTTTAATGTGGATTTGAATAATTCTATTTCTGGTTTTGTATATAAACGTTTTTTTATTTTCCATGTAATGGGTCTATCGTGTAATGATAACTTTTTTATATTTATTTCTGTGCCCCGATGATCTGAAAAACCGAACTCTTTTACGAGTGTGTCAAAAGTATAATTCGAAAAATTAGTAAAGATAAGATCCAGGCAAGTTTCGGAATTAATGGTAACTCGGGTAGGTTCATCTATCCACTGTCGAAAATTATATTCTAACATAAGTTCTAGAAGTTGTTTTGATTTATTGTTATTTTCCAACACATTTACATTAAAATCTCCACCACATACGAGGGTCAAACTGAAAGTTCTTAGAAAATCAAAAACTGATTACATTAGCCAGTTATTAGTTTTATTATATCTTTTCAAAATATTGTCCATTCACGTCAATACACCGCTGCATGCGATGGAACCACTGGGAAAAGCACTTTGCCCACTCGTCCTTAGGGGTCTCTTCAATGGCATCGCGATACGCAGCCACCGCTTCTTCAGCATTCATAAACCGCTTTCCTTTAAGTTTTTCTTTAATTTTTGGAAATAAATAAAAATCACAAGGCGCGAGGTCGGGGCTATACGGCGGGTGACCCAGTAATTCAACGTTTGATGTCGCCAAATAGTCGATCGTTCGCTTGGCGGTGTGCGACGAGGCGTTGTCGTGGTGAAGGAGGATCCTACTGCGAGGTCGTTTCTCTCGAACTTTTTCCAAGACAAGTGGCAAACAATTGGTAGTGTACCATTCTGCAGAAACTGTTTTTTGATCCTCTAACACAATTGTTGCAAAATGACCTGTCCTTCCAAAGAACGAGGCCACCATTTTTTTTCCCGCACTTCGATCTCTCTTCACTTTAGTTGGCAACTCCTCGAAAGGAAACACCCACTGAGCAGATTGTCTTTTGGTTTTAGGATCATAACAGTAAATCCAGCTTTCGTCACCTGTTAGTATGTCGAACACAGCATTTGAGTCACCTCCGTTAAATCTTTCAATCATTTTACGACACCAATCCACACGATGGAGTTTTTGAGCCTCAGTCAAATTATGAGGTATCCACCGGGCGCAAAGCTTCCTGACCGCTAAATGTTCGTGGAGGATTTTGTGCACTTGACTCATACCGATGCCTAAGCTTGTCCGAATCTGTTGATAGGTCACTCTTTTGTCAGTCTCTATCATACGCCGCACAACACAGATGTTATCTTCAGTCGTCGCCGTAGAAGGCCGTCTCTCACGTAAATCATCAGTGAGATTAGTGCGACCACGTTTAAACTCATTAAACCAGTTGTAAACAGTCGCACGAGATGGGGCTTCATCGTGAAAGGCCAATCGTAGTCTATCATAACTTTCTTGTTGACTTAAATGACATCGAAAGTCATAAAAAATCATTGCACGAAAATTTTCTCGTGTTAAATTCATGATGACGTGACACAGACAATTTTCAATTTGCCGCCAAATCGTAAAACAAATGACAAATGAATGAAATATATACTCAGTAATATTGGCAAAGAGTTATATTTTCAAATTTTAGAATTATTTTTTTATTATATTGTTTATAAGTGGCCAGTTCTAAGAACTTTCAGTTTGACCCTCGTATTATTTTCTTTTTATTATATTTTTGTACTAAAAGGTTTAGTAATTTCTGCAATTGTTTGTAGAAAAGAATTACTTCTCTCCCATTCCAGTATATGATAATTAGTAGAATATTATACGTAATTATTTCTATACAACTTATTTCTATTATATATTCTAATGAATGTCCACAATTTCTTTATGTTCAATATATTCTAGATCTTCGTGAAGTAATATGCAAACGCCACCTCCTTCGTAGTTTCGTCTACAATACGATGATGCGAGGTTGTATGCCGTAAAGTGAATTAATTCCGACTTACCTCTTGATAACCAAGTTTCTGATATACAGATAGCTTGATATTCTTTAGGTTTTTTTGTCTAAAAAGGCTTCAAGTATATGTATCTTGTTGTTCAAACTTTGCATATTTTGGAACAGTATTTTGAAATCTTTAGTTTTTGTCGCGAAAGTGATCGTTTGAATCTGAAGGAATCTGCATGTTACTGCTATCGCGAACATTGATATTAGTGTTAGTGCTGTTATTTGGAGTATTATTTTGACTGTATCGTGTACTCAAGCTAATGTTTATATTGTGCTGTGATTCTTCGGTAAGTAGTTATGGTTTTCCATTTATTATAAGTGTATTATTTTGTATAACTGCGTGGAGTCCTTTTTTACGTGCTTCGAGTAGACTGTTTCTTAATAGACGCTTTTCCTGAAGTGACCGTTCGCTAAGGTATTCACATATATATAAACCAGAATTTTTAAAATATTTAGCATTTCTTAATATATATCTGACCATTCTTTTACTGATAAGCTCCATTAATATTGGCCTTCGAGATCCTCTTTTACCAAGCTTTTTCAGGTCCTCTATATAGCCAGATAAGTCAACATTCATTGTATTATAAAAAATTGTCTCAACCTTTTCATGCAAGTCATATTCATTTTCTTCAAAATTTTCTCTTAGACCATAAATTACAATCTTTTTTTCATACTCAGAGTTATAGTAATTTTCTTTATTTGTAGTTGTAGGTTTTTCTTTATGAGTATACATTAGCTGTTCTAATTCTTGTTTTAATTTATTATTTTTTTCTTCAATCGATTGTATTTTTCTATTTAGAATTGTTCAGATTTTATTTCCTATCCATCCAACCCAATAAGGTGCGTGAGGCGATGGATTCGTTCTTTTTGCCTACTCGGATGTCTCGACTCAATGATAAGTCCCAATTGGAAGCACCAATGAGTACAGTCGGACTCACGTCATTATTTGACAACTCCTCTGAAAGATCAGCGAGGTGCTCGAACTCAATAAAGCAAATATTGCCTATACATAAGTTTACAAGTCGGTTACAGAACAATAATTTTAAGCTACTAATCACAAAATCAAAGAATATACTAAAAGTCAAAAAACTATATAAAAGGAACATGTCATAAAAACTTCTTAAATATGTACACTATGCCAACTGCCAGCTAGTTTCTAACACACTAGATGGCAGCACAAATTGTAGGAGCCAAATGTCAATGAGGAAGTTTTTAATTTAAAATAATGCACAAAAAATGCACCTTATTAAATGACGACTCTAGCAAAAGTTGTTTTTTTTTTACCAAAAATAGTCCTTTCCGTTCCTTTTAAGTAACATATTAAAAAAACTGAAATTTGTAATGTTTGAAACTAAGATATAAATACAAATACGAAAATAGTATAAAGTATAAAGAAAAATGGAAACCAACATAATGGAAGCGAGCATAGAGAAATTTTATAAGTTATGTAAATCAATAGGATTAATGCTGTAAAATTATTATAAGTGGCATTTAGCTACAGTACACAATAATATTACCTTGAAATAGTTTTTATAAATAAAATACTTATGCCATAGTAGGTCTAGGAATTTTTCAATATAATATTTCACAAAAGTTCTGAAAACAATTACAGCTAGGTAAGTTGAAGAACGGTAATGACATATGTATCAAACCGGATGTTCGGTTTCCGCAGAATCACTCATGGATGATTACTTTTTTTGACTGTATGTCAGGTATATTATTAAAGAATATTAAATACGTAATTTACGTAGTCGATAAATTAAAGCGATACTTTTAACTTAAATATCACATGACGTCACGCTTTTGTACATTTTTACAAATCTCTGAAGTAGCGAACCCTTCACTAATGATGTACAGTCGGCCAAGAAAGTGGTCTACCACCCTAAGGTTGAATTTCGCGTGTTACGTCAACTAACAACAAGGTTGATTTTCCGTAGCATTAATTTTTTGACACGTCAAGTACACGTCATTATTGCTATCTTCATCATTTTGACGTAACCTTTGACAGTAATTATCTATACGTTGAGTGATCCAAATCAGGCTATGGAGTGTTTCATTAATTCTATTAAAAAATCAATATCAAATAGCACCACAACATTTAACCCTACTAGAAGACGAAAAATTATTAAGCCGTGGATGACTTCAGGACTCTTAAGATGCTTACGAAATAGAGATAATCTATATAATAAATGTAAAAAGTCCCCAGACAATGTTATTCTTAGAGTCACCTACAAACGATATAGAAATTTTTGCAAATCCTTAATAAGAAATGCAAAACACAACTTTGAAAAGTCTGAATTTGCTCTAGCTGGCAGGGACCCCAAACGTATTTGGAGTATAGTAAGGGATGTTGCAAATCTTGATTCTAAAACTAAAGCTACTACTGAACTCTTGCAATTGAGACCCACTCCCGTAGAGTCAGCAAATGAATTAAACGCCTACTTTATAAATGCTGGTAAGCATCTTGCAGAGAAATGTCTTATGAATACCCCTGTAAATTGCCAACTTACTGATACAATGTATTCTTCTACTTCTCAAAATAATTCCTTCGTGCTACTCGACACTGACGAAGAAGAGGTTGACAGAATAATCATCTCACTTAAATCAGACAAGGCTGTTGGGTTGGACGGCATCTCAGCTGGCCTTCTAAAAAAGCATAAACATCTTCTTATCCCTCCTTTGACATTTTTTCTAAACCTTTGTCTATCTTCTGGTGCTTTTCCGAACGTACTAAAGAAGGCAATTGTTCACCCAATTTATAAAAATGGTGATCGGAGTCTCCCTCGTAACTACCGCCCTATTTCAATCTTGCCTATTATCTCTAAAATCTTTGAAAGAATCATTAATTTTAGGCTCATTAAGTATCTTGAGAGTAACGAGCTGATTTCTGATGCTCAGTTTGGATTTCGTGCAAAAAAGTCAACATCTGATGCTTTACATGAAGTAAATAATTACCTGGTCTATAACATGGATAAGGGTGAAAGGTGTTTGGTTGTCTTTCTGGACCTGGCTAAGGCATTTGACACTGTTTCGATACCATTACTGCTCACCAAGCTGGAAAGGATAGGAATTCGGGGTACTCAACTATCTTTGTTCACTGATTATTTAAAAAACCGTACTCAATGTGTTAAATTGACGAAAAAAGTAATTAGTAATGATTTGCAGGTTTCATATGGTATTCCCCAGGGAAGTATCCTTGGTCCTACACTTTTTCTTATATTTATCAACGACCTTTGCAATCTCAGACTTCAAAATGGCAAGATAGTCACTTTCGCTGATGACACAGCGTTACTCTTCTCTGGAGATACTTGGGAAAAAGTTTTTCTGCATTCCCAAAATGGTTTAAATTCCGTATGTACATGGCTTGATAGAAATTTATTGACTCTAAATTGTGAGAAAACTAAATACATGCCCTTTGCAATTCGCACTTCTTGTTTACCCCCGATAAATATGTCTCATATTAAGGCCCATTGTTGTGGTAACTACGATGACAATGAATGTGCATGCCATATTATACAGAGCACAAGTCATATCAGGTACCTTGGCGTTTTGTTTGATAGTGGCCTGGTTTTTTCTTCTCACATCAAAACACTTTGCGGTAGAGTAAGAAAACTAATTTTTATATTTAAAAAATTGCGTTGTGTTGCTGATATGAGTACTCTCAGAAGCGTTTATTATGCGTTATGTCAGTCAGTAGTGGGATATGGGATAGGGGTCTGGGGCGGAGCTGCTAAAACCCATCTTGTTGAACTTGAGAGGGCCCAGAGAGCTGTATTAAAAGTCATCAACTTTAAACCTCTTCTATATCCTACTCTAGATCTATATAGAATTAGCAAGGTTTTGACTGTCCGGCAACTTTTTATCTTTCATATCGTGATGAAACAGCACGGTTTATCGGAACTGCGCCAGGATCTTAGATGTTCACGTCGTAATCGATATTATCGCGTAATCCAAGAGATGCGTTGTAGGACAGCTCATGCTACAAGGTTTTTCGGTTATCTGGGTCCATTCTTGTACAATAGGCTGAATTGGAAAATTTCTATGAATGCCCTTAATAAATGGTCATGTCATAAAAAGCTTAAGGAGTACCTTATGACACTTTCGTACGCGGATACAGAATTATTGTTTCAAGTAATGCAATAAATAAATCACAAATGAATGTTTAATACCTAGTATATATCTATCTGGATAAAATACCTAGATGTTCCTTTACAAATTTTCAGTTTCTTGATTTTGTATCTCGTTTATTGTTAATGTGTTGTGCTTGTTCACTTGAGAGTTGTATAGTAATAAATTGTAACATATTATCTAATTCATTTGGGGTGGGGCCTGGTGACCTGTAATACGGGGTTGAACCTACACAGGCACCAGTCTCCCACAAATGACTCTTAATAGAATAATCTTATTGTACATCCTTTTGTAATGTTATTTGTGGTGGAAATAAATAAATATTATTAAAATATTATTATTATTATACCTATAATAAAAATGTAACAAAGTTACATATGTAAGATATTTTGGAAAAAAAATATATGGACGGCCTTCATAAGACTAATAGAAGCCAAAAATATTTTTTTTTCTGTCTGTCTGTTTGTATGTTTAAATACTTTAGAGTTAGAATATCGTAAATAAAGTCTTATAGTCTACAAATATCCTACATTAGAATGTAGATTAATTATATTTTAACCCGTCACGCGATTAAGTAAAAAAAAAAATGGCCGTTAATGATAATTTAGGAACCGTAAGGTTGAATGTTGGTCCCTACTGTGGTGACGGAGACAACTGGCCAGGGAGACTAAAGGATAATTGTCTCCCTCCGAGCTAGGTGTTGTTAGCCCGGGGACCGCGGTCCAACCGATGTAGGTTGGACGTTCTATTTATGTTAATTGGCAATGTAACTTATTCTGTGCGATGTAGGTTTCTTTGTTCTAAATGTCTTGTAGTTATTAATTTATGTTGCTTGTATTGGTACAGCGCCATCTCGTTACTAGCTGTTGAAACTTATTGCAGTTCGTCTTGCTATCGATGGCTGTGCCGATGCTAGTCTTCTCGCTATCGATTGTTGTGGCGATGTTACTGCGATGAATTAGATGTCGCTATGTAACTACAAGACATTTAGAACAAAGAAACCTACATCGCACAGAATAAGTTACATTGCCAATTAACATAAATAGAACGTCCAACCTACATCGGACGGACCGCGGTCCCCGGGCTAACAACACCTAGCTCGGAGGGAGACAATATCCTTTAGTTTCCCTGGCCAGTTGTCTCCGTCACCACAGTAGAGACCACACCTTCAATCTTATGGTTCCTAAAGTGGTGACCCCGAAGAACATCAGCAACCTTCAGCATCACATCGCAGCCATCACTCTTCATCAACAGCCTCTCACCCTTCATCATCAGCTTCTCATCCCTCACCAGCACAGTCACTTCAGCAGCAAGCCAGCCAACACCAAGGTCCATCACAGCAGCATCGACGACGCTTCCTGGATACTTGGCACCACTCGACGGCATCATCCCGACCTGGTCCTCGCAGCCCACGACCGGACCTCAGTTCACACACAACTCACCGGCGTGGCAGCCCTGCACACCAGCAGCTTCGGTCCCGACGTCACAACCTGGCGCTTGCAAGCTCTGAAGCACTGACTGCATACCACCTACTATCAACATGGATCGACCTTCGGTCTAGGGGGAAAGTACTGTGGCGACTGATATATAGCGACATCTAACTCATCGCACTAACATCGCCACAACAATCGATAGCGAGAAGACTAGCATCGTCACAGCCATCGATAGCAAGACAAACTGCAATAAGTTTCAACAGCAAGTAACGAGATGGC